CACCTTTAAAGCGCTCCATAGCATCGGACCTGGGTATTTGCAGGACCGCCTTCTGCCGCCGATAGCCTCCCACCGACCAGTATGCGCCCACAGAGAGGGACTCCTCAGGGTGCCATCAGCCAGGCAATGTCGGCTGGTGACCCCCAGGGGAAGGGGCTTCTCTGTGGCAGCCCCCGCCCTCTGGAACGATTTGCCCCCGGAGATACGAAGGATACCAGATCTCCGGGCCTTTTGCCGTTCCCTAAAAACTTTTCTTTTCCATCAAGCAGGACTGGCATGAACATCCCCCCCCCTTTTTTAAGCTCTTTTAGCTTTTTAGCTTTTTAAGTGTAAATTGGGTTTTAATTGGATTGTTTTAAATTGTGGGCCAAAGTTGTATAATTCTTTTAATTGATTTTAAATTTTGTATTGGTATGTTTTTTATCTTTGGCTGTGCACCGCCCTGAGTCCAATAGGAGAAGGGCGGTATATAAATTGAATAAATAATAATAATAATAAATAATAATAATAAGACTTATAAGACTTATAAATTACTTCACGTGATTTTGATTCTATGCCTCTCTTTAGACAACACAGGATGGTATTAGCTTTTTTGGCTGCCGCCGCACATTGCCTGGCTCATATTTAAGGGATTGTCCACTAGGACTCCAAGGTCCCTCCCTGTACTTGTACCTTTGGTTTTTCCTGCCTAAATTAAAACTTTGCTTTTCCCCACATTAAATTTTATATTGTTTGATGGGGCCCATTGTTCAAGTCTGTCAAGATTTTTTTGGACCCCAAGTTTGTCTTCTGGGGTATTGGCTATTCCTGCCATTTTAGTGTGAGCTGCAAATTTGGCGAGTTCCCCTTCTATTCCTTCATCTAAGTCATTTATGAAGATATTGAAGAGTCCTGGGCCTAAGACGGAACCTTGTGGTATCCCATTGTTTACTTCCCTCCATGTAGATGTAGTACCGTTAAAGACTACTCATTGAGTATGGTTTGTCAGCGAGCTACAAATCCATCAGGCGGTGATGCTGTCTATCCTCCATTTTTCTAGCTTACCCAGAAATCAGTCGTGGTCTACTGTGTCAAATGCCTTACTGAAGTCTAAATATACTATGTCCACAGCATTTTGCTGGTCTACTAATTTAGACACTAGGTCATAGAATGAAATAACATTGGTTTGGCGTGATCTGTTTTTAATGCAAGCTACTAGTTATAACTTCATTTGTTTCTACGTGTTGGCAGATATGTTTTTTTGATTATTTTTTTCCAGTATCTTCCCAGGTACTGATGTTAAGCTGATTGGTTTGTATTTCCCAGGTCTGTATTTTTTCCCTTTTTAGAAGATGGGAACCTTTTCCAATCCTCAGGTAATTTCCTGGTGCTCTGGGATTTTTGAAAGATATAATACATAGTTCTGTTGAGGCCCACCTGTTGATCAGAAGACCTCCAAGGCCTCTTCCAATTCTGCAATTCTGTATTCTGTACAGAAAGTCCTCGACTTACAACCGTTTGTTTACTGACTGTTCAAAGTTATAACTGTGGCACTGAAAAATGTGACTCATGACCGTTTTTCACAGTTGCGACCATTGCAGCATCCCCATGCCTGCAATTTCTGCGAGTTCAAATCTCACCAGCTCAAGGTTGACTCAGCCTTCCATCCTTCCGAGGTAGGTAAAATGAGGACCCAGATTGTGGGGGCAATAAACTGACTTTGTATGAAAAAGAACACCGCTGGGGGGGGGGGCGAAAGCCCTACTAAGCAGGTATATACAAAAGTATGAAGGCTATCGCTTAACACATTGTAAGCCGCCCTGAGTCTCCGGAGAAGGGCGGCGTATAAATCGAACCAATAAATAAATAAATAAAACCTGGGTAGGCATGGCTGGGTAGTGTGTGTGTCATGTGACTGGGTGGGAGTGAGTGACGTCAAGTTGGCCACACCCACTCAGGTTTTGTGGCTCCCGGTGTTTTCTTTTCTGTGGGAAACGGATCCAAATGGCTCTTTGAATGTTTAAGGTTGCAGACCCCTAGTCTAGGACCTGAGTCTCTATGATCCTAGCCCATAACCTTTGTCACTGCCTCCACCAGCCCCCACCAGGCAGGGAGTGACCATCACATCCCTTACCTTCAGGCCCGTCTCCCTTCTCGGACCCTCACCTGACAAGAGTCGATGCCGCCAGAGAGGTACCCAGCACAGAACATGGCACTGCTCACCAGCTGGCTCCCTAGAGCCCCACGGCATAAGTCTTGTGCCAGGATCGGCACCCGCGCTTCCATGACAACCTCAGCAGGCGGCCCGTCTAGGAGTGAAGCAGATGGGACACATGAATGGCCACAACCGCCCAGGGACCCTCCCTGCTGGTTCTCTGCCACTTGGCAGGCGTGCAAAAGGAAACTGTGCACCAGGTGAGATGCTGCAAGAGGACAATTTCAGCTCTTCCCTTCCGCCTCTGATCCAGGTCCAGATTTTATGAGCAGCCGGAGAAATTGCATATTTATGAATCTCATAAATACGGTTCATTTGCCGAGCGTCCAAATTCTGATCATCTGTTCACAGGAACGCTACAATGGTCGTAAGTGTTGTGGCTCCGTTACTTGAGGCTGTGTCATCGGCAGGAGAGGACTCCGAGAGTGAAGGAGAGGAGTCGGCAAGGCCTCCCTCTCCAGGACCCCCTCTCTGGCAATGCCTTCAGTGTCCGCCGAAGGGCAAGAGATAGGCCCGGGGCCAAGTACGTCCACACAGCCACAGGTGGACAGTGATGATGGAAATGAGTCTTGGCTGGATCCTTGGCAGCGTCGCAGAGATAAGCGCGTGCAACAGAAGAAAAGGCGTGCCAGAGATTAGGCTGAGTCACTGGACCATACCCCACAGGGTATAAAAGGGGGTGAGGTGGCCATTCAGACTCTGTGATGGACAAAACTAACTACTATCGAGTCACATTGCATCTTTGGAAACAACATTATCGGCCTTGGATTTATTTTACGAACTGGACAATTCTTGACTGTGTATTTTGTTTATAAGTAAAGTTCTTGGCAAGCAGCTACTGGGTTGCTGCCAAGCTTCTTATCGGAAGAATTGGTTGTCTGCCAGTTTATTTAACCCCAGCTGTCTTTTTGTGTGCGTGTGTGAGACGGGGACAGAACAGTAAGTGTGAAAAATGAGCGTGTCATTTTTTTTTCAATGCCGTTCTAATGGTCACTAAATAACTGGCTGCAAGTCAAGGACGACATTTAATAAACAAACATTTAATCGCTAGGAACTGAAAGTGACTTGATGGCAGATAATCAATCAATCAATCAACTTTTCCAAAGTTTTGAATTTGGTAAGTAGCCCTCAAGTTACAACGGTTCATTTCGTGACCGTTCGAAGTTACAATGGAATTGCAAAACGTGATTTATGACCATTTTTCACACTTATGACCCTTGCAGCATCTCCATGGTCACGTGATCAAAATTCAGACTCTTGGCAACTGATTTGTATTTATGACAGTTGCAATGTCCCGGAGTCCCCTTTTTGTGGCCGTCTGCTAAGCAGTCAATGGGGAAGCCAGAGGAATTTAACAACCGGGTTCCTAACCACAACACTCCACTTAATAACGGTGGCAAAAAAAGGTTGTAGAATGGGGCCAAACTCACTTCACTTCACAACCGTCTCGCTTAGTGTTGTGGCCCGTCAGCGGGCAACAGAAATTTGGGGCTCAACTGTGGTCGTAAACAGAGGACTACCTGTAATTCCCTGGCCTGCAAGGCTTCATAGCCTTAATCCAAGCCATCTCCAAGGGAGCAGAGGGTCTCGACCAGGGGTGGGTTTCAAAACCGTCGCTACCAGTTTGCTTGTGGCTCGTGTGCGCTCGCTCGTGCGCTGCTTCTGCACATGTGCAGAAGTGTCCAGGTGGGTGGGCGGAGAATCCCGCCGCCGCTACCGGTTTGACCTTCTGTTGTGGTCCGCCAACAGCCTGCGGACCTGGCAACGGAATTAGACAGCGAGGAGGCTGGGGAGGACAATGGGCCAGTCCTGGAGTCAGGAGAAGGCCCGGACGAGGGCTCTGCATCAGAGGCAGAGATGCGGCCAGGGCCATCTGGGAGCTATGCACGGACTCCGGAGCCTCCAGAGCAGGGGTGGGTTCTAAATTTTTTTACTACCGGTTCTGTGGGCGTGGCTTATTTTGTGGTGTGGCTTGGGGGTCATGTGACTAGGTGGGCGTGGCTAGCTGGTCAGAGTCATTTCTGGAAGGTCCTCGCACTTACGACGACAGTCCTCGCACTTACGACCCAACTCATTTGTTTGCTTTTAACACTGATCAGCTGTAGGACGGCCCTTTGAAGCCCCGCGGCAAGAGTTTAAACAGTTTTTTCCCTCTAGTCATCAGCTGGGACTCAGGAGGCAGCAATAGATTGGGGGTGGGACCAAATAAAAGGTAAGAATAACGTGGGGGGGGGGGAGGGCAGGGGGGGAACCAGTTAGGTGACGTCATATCGTCACCACTACCGGCTCGGCCGAATCAGACCGAACCGGGAGGAACCCACCACTGCTCCAGAGGCGGACAGCAAGAGAGGCAAAGGAACAGGTGAAGATAAAAGGACAACTCAGGAGTAAGGCCAGGAGATGATTGGCCCTCCCATAAGACTTAAAAGAGCAAAAGCGAGCCTTTGGGTTCTTTGTAGAAAAGCAACATTGATTCCAGTGCTTCTTGTCAGCGTCTCTTGAACTTTGTGGGGGTTTTGCCAAAAAAGCCTTTGGCCAGTTGCCAAAAACATCAAAGGTTGGTGATAAGGCCAACGGACTGATTATGAAGAATTTTGTTTAGGACTAAACAGAGAATGAATTACTTCTCAGCTGTTTTAATAAAATAAGTGTGTTGAGGACTGAATTGTGTTTGGTAGTCACTATTTGGGCCTTGGTCACAACACCGCCGAGTGCCCCCAGCCACACCGTTACCTTCATAGAGCGAGCCCCAGCCGACGATGTAGCAGAGGACTTCCTGGCTCATCTCCGCGCCCGCTCCGGGAGGCACACGGGGGACACCCAGGCTGAGGAGCGCACGGGAGCGCTCAGTTCCAGCAAAGCCACATCCGCGTGGAAGGTCTTTGGGTCGAACTACGGAAAGAGAAACCGGTCGTTGCAATGGGGGGAAAGAGCATCAAGCAGCTATGGGGATCAAGGTTGGGGGTCTTTCTCGCCATGTACAGGAATACATCCAAATTAGACTGTGGTTTCTCTGTGTCGTATAATATATGTGGGTATATGCATACTTTTGTATCTATCTATCTATCTATCTATCTATCTATCTATCTATCTATATCTATCTATCTTATCTCTTATCTATCTTATCTATCATCTATCTATCTTATCTATCTTATCTATCATCTATCTATCTTATCTATCATCTATCTTATCTATCTATTTTATCTATCATCTATCTTATCTATCATCTATCTTATCTATCATCTATCTTATCTATCATCTATCTAATCTATCTTATCTATCATCTATCTTTCTTATCTATCATCTATCTCTTATCTCTTATCTATCTATCATCTATCTTATGTATCTTTTCTATCTATCTTATCTATCTTATCTATCATCTATCTATCTTATCTATCTATCTTATCTATCATCTATCTTATGTATCTTTTCTATCTATCTTATCTATCTTATCTATCATCTATCTATCTTATCTATCATCTATCTATCTTATCTATCTATCTATCTTATCTATCATCTATCTATCATATCTATCTTATCTATCATCTATCTATCATATCTATCTTATCTATCATCTATCTCTTATCTCTTATCTATCTATCATCTATCTTATGTATCTTTTCTATCTATCTTATCTATCTTATCTATCATCTATCTATCTTATGTATCTATCTATCTTATCTATCATCTATCTATCTTATCTATCATATATCTATCTTATCTATCTTATCTCTTATCTATCTTATCTATCATTTATCTATCTCTTATCTATCATCTATCTATCATCTATCTATCTTCTGTATCTTATCTATCTATCTATCTATCTATCTATCTATCTATCTATCTATCTATCTTGTCATACATATGTAGTGTAAAATTGGAGGTGGTAACCCTTTAAGAGCTGTATGCAATTAAATTTCATTTTAATGTATGCCGATTAGTGTACATGCAAAATGACAATAAAGCTATTCTGGCTCAGTGGCTAAGATGCTGAGCTTGTCGATCGAAAGGTCGGCAGTTCAACGATTCGAGTCCCTAGTGCCGCTTAACGGGGTGAGCTCCCGTGACTTGTCCCAGCTTCTGCCAACCTAGCAGTTTGAAAGCACATAAAAAAATGCAAGTAGAAAAAAATAGGGACCACCTTTGGTGGGAAGGGAACAGCGTTCCGTGCGCCTTATGGCGTTTAGCCATGCTGGCCAAATGACCACGGAGACATCTTCGGACAGCGCTGGCTCTTTGGCTTTGAAACGGAGATGAGCACCGCCCCCTAGAGTCGGGAACGACTACGACGCATGTGTGAGGGGAACCTTTACCTATTCTATTCTATTCTATTCTATTCTATTCTATTCTATTCTATTCTATTCCATTCCATTCCATTCCATTCCATTCCATTCCATTCCATTCCAAATAAAGATTATAATTCTATTCCATTCCATTCCATTCCAAATATTCTATTCTATTCTATTCCATTCCATTCCATTCCAAATAAAGATTATAATTCTATTCTATTCTATTCTATTCTATTCTATTCTATTCTATTCTATTCTATTCTATTCTATTCCATTCCATTCCATTCCATTCCATTCCATTCCATTCCATTCCAAATAAAGATTATAATTCTATTCCATTCCATTCCATTCCAAATATTCTATTCTATTCTATTCCATTCCATTCCATTCCAAATAAAGATTATAATTCTATTCTATTCTATTCTATTCTATTCTATTCTATTCTATTCTATTCTATTCTATTCTATTCTATTCCATTCCATTCCATTCCATTCCATTCCAAATAAAGATTCTATTCTATTCTATTCTACTGATTTTCTCTACTCTATTTGCAAATGATGGGCAGGAGCACACACCCCAGACTCACCTTGGGGTGCGGCAGGATGCGGCTGACGGGAACCACCTGTTCGCTTTCATCCCGCTTGTTTAGATCATAGTCACCCAAGACCACAGACCAGGCCAGCTCATTTCGGCTTCTACCACAGGAGAGAAACCAGAAAATTGTAGAATTCGGCACCCCCAATCTCTTCTTAAAAAGCTCCAGTTCTTGAACACCTACAACTTCTGGTGGCAAGCAGTTCCACTGATTAACTGTTCTCACTGTCAGGAAACTTCTACTTAGTTCTAGGTTGCTTCTCCCCTTGATTACTTTCCATCTACTGCATTGCTTCTTGTCCTCCCTTCATGTGCTTTGGAGAATAGGTGGACCCCCTCTTCCTAGTGGCAGCCCTTCAAATATTGCAAACACTGCTATCATGTCTCCCCTATTCCTTCTTTTCACTAGACTAGTCATCCCCAATTCCAGCAACCGTTCTTCATATGTTTTAGCCTCCAGTCCCCCAACCATCTTGGTTGCTCTTCTCTGCACTCTTTCCAGAGTCTCCGCATCTCTTTTACATCGTGGCGACCAAAACTGGATGCAGGATTTCAAGTGTGGCCTCACCAAGGCATTATGAGGACCCAGATTGTTGGGGGCAAGAGGCTGACTCTGTCAACCGCTTAGAGAGAGCTGGAAAGCGCTGTGAAGCGGTATATAAGTCTAAGTACTATTGCCCTTCCATCCTTCCTTCCTTCCCTTCCCTTTCCTTCCTTACCTCCCTCTCTCCTTTCCTTCCTTTCCTTCCCTTTCCTTTCCTTTCCTTTTTCCTTCCTTCCTTCCCTCCCTCTCTTTCCTTCCTTTTCCTTTCTTCCTTCCCCCCTCCCTCCCTCCTTCCTTTCCTTTCCTTTCCTTCCTTCCTTCCCTCCCTCCCTTTCCTTCCTTTCTTTCCTTTCTTCCTTCCCCTCCCTCCTCCTTCCTTTCCTTTCCTTTCCTTTCCTTCCCCTCCCTCCCTCCTCTCTCCTTTCCTTCCCTTCCCTTCCTTTCCTTTCCTCCTTTCCCCCCCCTCCTTCCTTTCCTTTCCTTTCCTTTCCTTTCCTTTCCTTTCCTTTCCTTCCTTCCTTCCCTCCCTCCCTCCCTCTCTTCTTTCTTTTCCTCCCTTCCCTTTCCTTTCCCTCCCCTCCCCCTTCCTTCCTTTCCTTTCCTTCCTTTCCTTTCCTTCCTTCCCCTCCCTCCCTCTCTCCTTTCCTTTCCTTTCCTTTCCTCCTTCCCCCTCCTTCCTTTCCTTTCCTTTCCTTTCCTTCCTTTCCTTTCTTCCTTCCCCTCCCTCCCTCTTTCCTTCCTTTTCCTTTCCTTTCCTTCCCTTCCCTTTCCTTTCCTCCTTCCCCCTCCTTCCTTTCCTTTCCTTTCCTTTCCTTCCTTTCCTTTCCTCCTTCCCCCTCCTTCCTTTCCTTTCCTTTCCTTTCCTCCTTTCCTTTCTTCCTTCCCCTCCCTCCCTCTTTTTTTCCTTTCCTTTCCTTTCCTTTTCCTTTCCTTCCCTTTCCTTTCCTTTCCTCCTTCCCCCTCCTTCCTTTCCTTTCCTTTCCTTCCTTTCCTTTCTTCCTTCCCCCTCCCTCCCTCTTCTTTCCTTTCCTTTCCTTTCCTTTCCTTTCCTTTCCTTTCCTTTCCTTTCCTTTCCTTTCCTTTCCTTTCCTTCCTTCCTTTCCTTCCTTCCTTCCTTCCTTCCTTCCATGATGGTGTAATGGTTAAGATTGCAGCGTTGCAGGCTGACTGCCCACAGCCAGGAGTTACGATCCTGACCGCTCAAGGTTGACTCCCATCCTTCCCTCCTTCCGAGGTGGGTAAAATGAGGACCCAGATTGTTGGGGGCAAATAGGCTGACTCTGTCAAACCGCTTAGACAGAGGGCTGGAAAGCGCTGTGAAGCGGTATATAAGTCTGAGTGCTATTATAAGACCACCCAAGGGAAGGGAAGAGAGAAGATGGGGAGAATGGGAAAAGAAAATAGACTAGAAGTAAGCGACAGAAGAAGCCGGTGGGAGACCCCGCCACATGAAAGCAATGAGCTCTTCACTGGAGGTCTTCAAAGAGTAGTCATTGGGTCCTCTATTGGAGAGACTTTTGTTCACCCACCCTAGTAGGCAGGGGTTGGACTGGATGACCTCTCTGATCCCTTCCGTAGAGACAGGAGCCCTTGGCCTTACCCGGTGAAGCAGTGGGCAGCCGTGACAATCCAGGCACTGCCCACCAACCACCCCACCGCTGCACATCAGCTCTCCGTTCAGCAGCACCGACACCAGCCACGGCCAGGCGCCCGGCTTTGCACGGCGGCCCCCCACAATCTTCCCCTTCGGCAGAGTCACGTTAGGGGCAGGGACCACATGGTGTAGAAACAAATGAAGTTATAACTAGTAGCCAATGTAAATGCTCTTTCAAAGGTACTTTTTCAAAAAGTAAGTGGACTGTTTTTTTCCAAGAAGAAGAAAAGAAGAAAGAGGAGAGAGAGAAGGAGGAGAGGAAGGAAGAGGAGGAGGAAGAGAAGGAGGAGGAGGAGGAGGAGAAGGAGAAGGAGAAGGAGAAGGAGAAGGAGAAAGTTTCTTATGGGAGTTGAAGTCTATAAGGAGTTGGAGTAGAGTAGGAGTATGGAGGTAGAAGACCCATACAAAATTCCATAATGGAATTTAGGCTGATCTGAAGACCTTGGCAACTTAAGAGAGCTGGACTTCAATTCCCAGAATTCCTCCTCCATGCTGGGAAATTGTGAATGTTGATCTGGAGACCTGCCAGAAGAACATTGAGGACAATAAGTAAGTCTCAAAGTCCTGGTTTATCTGTCTCCTCTCTCAAGGAAGGAGCTCCTGCTTTGAAGGAAGGAAAATTCACTGGGGGAAAACCCTTGGCCACTAGCCACCAAGCAGATGTCCCAGGAACCACATCACCTGTGGAGCTTCATAGCAGAAGAACCAACGATGGAAGATTTCTTCTGGAAGACCTTGCTGGTGGTTGGGGCTCTTTCAGCCTCTGGACACTCTGCACTATCCCAGAAACTACTCACCGATGATGGGGCTGTGGAACAGGGAGTGGCCAACTACAACAGCAAAGCACAAGAAGACTCCCTCTACCAGCTCCTGGATGCTGTTCCTCAACCTGATTGGGTAGGTACCCTTCACTTCAGGTCCATGTTGGACTTGAGTTTTTGCAGAGTAGACCCATCCCTTGTGGGAAGCAATTCTAAGAATTCGGGGGAGCTAGCTGACATGAAAGATTCTGCCCACCCTGTTCTCCTAGCTTGAACAGCCTTCATTTATGGTCAATCAGGATGATGGGCCTTGTATGAAGAACATCTGGAACCTGCATGGACTCTTCTGTGTAGCCACGTTCAGGCGGCTCCATCAAGACTCATTCAGAAATGGTCCCAGTCTAAAATGGGGAGAAGGTGCAGGGGGTCTTCAAAGTAACACCTTTGCTTGGCCATGTCTTCTTTCAGGATCCCAATTCTGAAGGTACCCAAATGTTGAAGTTCACCATCAAAGAGACAGTCTGTCCAGCAGAAGAAGAAGGTTCCTTGGATAAATGTGACTTCAAGGAAGACGGGGTGAGTGATTGATACCAATGATGGGATTGGTCATTATTGTAGATGGAGACAGGGCCATAGGACCTCTGTAGGATCTTCTTGGCAGAGATAAAACTGTTGTCCATCCCCACTGGGTTGAAGGAAGATCATATTTAAGATTGTCTCTTTCCCTTCTACCTTTGTCTTGAGGGACATTATTTCTCTTGGTTCTTCAAGTCAATTCCTTGACCAAGATCCATGGATAGAGAAAGGACTCGTTGTACCCTACAATCATTGTTTCCTTTACCCCAAAGTGTGCATGGAGAGGCTGATCGAGCTTAATTTGTCCAAAGTTGGTTGAAGCAACTTCAGCTGCTGATCCAAGATCTTTTCTATAGAAAAACAAGACGATGGTCTCCATGGAATCAATTCTGGGAGGTGGCTTCATTCTCAGCATGTTTTTATTCCTCTACAGGTGGTCAGAGAATGCACAGCCACTTATTTCCTTGGGGAGAATCCACCAATGGCTGTTCTGGATTGCAAAGCCGTGGGAGGAATGGAGGAGAAGAGGTGGAAGAGAAGGAAGAGGTGAAGGAGAATCAGGGGGATGAGGAGGAGGTAAAAAGGTGGTAGGTAGGATCATTTTTCTCATCCTTCCTCATTCTCTTTCCCCCTCTTTTCTGCCCAAACGGATTTTGCAAGGAGAATTTTTGGTCTCTTGTGTTCAAAACTGGGCAGCCCCTGAACCTCTCCAGGTAACTTAAATCATTGAAAGAAAATGACTGATTGTCAAATTGCTTTATGTCTAAATCTAGAACTGCTGAAAAATTATTGGCTCCCTAAGCAAACAGGAGATCAGGAACAACCAGCTAGCATCCATAAGGTCTCAACTGTGGCCTTTCCCAATTTCCTCTAATCAATCAACAGATTGATTGATTGATCTGTCTTCTGTCTTCTTTCTTCTCTCTCGTCTTTTGCCTTTTCTCTTCTCTCCAGTCTTCTGTCTTCTTTCTTCTGTCTACTATCTTCATCAATGACTTGGACGAGGGGATAGATGGGGAACTCATCAAATTTGCAGATGAACACCAAGCTGGAAGGAATAGCCAATCCAGAAGATAGGCTCAAGATACAGAAGGATCTTGACAGACTTGAAGATTAGGCGCTATCTAACAAAATGAAATTCAATGGTGAAAACAGTAAAGTTCTACATTTATGCAAGAAAAAGAAAATGCACAGGTACCGTATAGGTGGTACCTTGCTCAATAGTAGTAACTGTGAGAGGGATCTTGGAGTCCTAGTGGACAACCATTTAGATATGAGCCAGCCATGTGCAGCAGCTGCCCAAAAAGCCAACACAGTTCTGGATTACATAAACAGAGGAATAGAATCAAGATCACGTGAAGTGTTAATACCACTTTATAAGGCCTTGGTAAGGCCACACTTGGAATCCTGCATTCAGTTTTGGTCGCCACAATTAAAAAAGATGTGGAGACTCTAGAAAGGGTGCAGAGAAGAGCAACAATGATGATTAGGAGACTGGAGGCTCAAACATATGAAGAACGGTTGCTGGAACTGGGTATGTCTAGTTTAATGAAGAGAAGGACCAGGGGAGACATGAAGAGCAGTCTTCCAATATCTCAGGGGCTGCCCCAAAGAAGAGGGAGTCAAGCTATTCTCCAAAGCACCTGAAGGCAGGACAAGAAGCAACGGGTGGAAACTAATCAAGGAGAGAAGCAATTTAGAACTAAGGAGAAATTTCCTGACAGTGAGAACAATTAACCAGTGGAACAACTTGCCTCCAGAAGTTGCAAATGCTCCAACACTGGAACTTTTTAAGAAGAGATTGGATGACCCATTTGTCTGAAATGCTGTAAGGTTTCCTGCCTAAGCAGGGGTTGGACTAGAAGACCTCCAAGGTCCCTTCCCACTCTGTTATTCTAAATTCTAAATCTTCCCTCTTTTCTCTTCTGTCTTCTAATTATGTTCCCTGAAGCCTTTGTTGATTCTGAGTCACCACTTCAGTAGAGCTTCTCCGTGCGGTTAGTTCACCTGAGTGCACTTCTACAGCCACCTGTAACGGCAACTCTTGGCAGCTAACCAAGATAAACCTAATAAAACCACTAATCGGCATAATAATAAATGTCAGGCAGCTGAGGACAACATTCACAATAGTCCAGTAGCACCCATCTGTCATTATGGATGTTTCCATCAACCTTTATTATTGTTATTAATAACTCAAGGCAGCAAACGTGTTTCACGTTCCTTCCTTTTCCTGTTTTTCCCACAACAACCCTGTGAGGTGGGCTGGGCTGAGAGAGAGGAAGAAGCCCAAAGCAACCCAGCCTGCTGGATTAGAACTCGGCGCCTGTCGGGCTGCTTCCTTCCAATCGCCACGAAAGAAGGGCTTCGTAGACTTAGAGGAAAGGTGGTACTTTTACTAGGAAAGAACTGAATGCAACTCGAGTCAGGCAAGACTTGGAGAGCCAAAAGTGCATGAAGCATCATCATATTGAAACAAACCCCTAGGGCTAAAAAAACAACCCCCCCCCCCCTTGTAGCTAGGCAACCGGCCAGGAAATGCTTTGAGAAAGTCTTGGATTCAAGTGCATCGTCTCTGGTTGGCGCATGCCGAAGCTAGGAGAAACGACCTTGGGGGGATAAGCAAAGCCCAGACCGGTTGTAGCAAAGCTGCGAAGAAAAATTCTCCACTGAGCCCCACCCACCCACCCCCTTTCCATGGCAGCAAACAGACAGCTAGCTGACACCATCTCCTGGTGATTGGCCCACTCAGCTGGCTCTTGTGCCTAAGGCGGGAGCAGAACTCCCCGCCCCCTGGTGATTGGCCCACTCAGCTGGCTCTTGTGCCTAAGGCGGGACTAAAACTCCCCGCCCCCTGGTGATTGGCCCACTCAGCTGGCTCTTGTGCCTAAGGCGGGACTAAAACTCCCCGCCCCCTGGTGATTGGCCCACTCAGCTGGCTCTTGTGCCTAAGGCGGGAGTAGAACTTCCCATCTGCTGGTGATTGGCCCACTCAGCTGGCTCTTGTGCCTAAGGCGGGACTAAAACTCCCCGCCCCCTGGTGATTGGCCCACTCAGCTGGCTCTTGTGCCTAAGGCGGGAGTAGAACTCCCCGTCTCCTGGTGATTGGCCCATTCAGCTGGCTCTTGTGCCTAAGGCGGGAGTAGAACTCCCCGTCTCCTGGTGATTGGCCCACTCAGCTGACTCTTGTGCCTAAGGCAGGACTAGAACTTCCCGTCTCCTGGTGATTGGCCCACTCACTGGCTCTTATGCCTAAAGCGGGACTAAAATTCCCCGTCTCCTGGTGATTGGCCCACTCAGCTGGCTCTTGTGCCTAAGGCGGGAGTAGAACTCCCCGTCTCCTGGTGATTGGCCCACTCAGCTGGCTCTTGTGCCTAAGGCGGGAGTAGAACTCCCCGTCGCCTGGTGATTGGCCCACTCAGCTGGCTCTTGTGCCTAAGGCGGGAGTAGAACTCCCCGTCTCCTGGTGATTGGCCCACTCAGCTGGCTCTTGTGCCTAAGGCGGGAGTAGAACTCCCCGTCGCCTGGTGATTGGCCCACTCAGCTGGCTCTTGTGCCTAAGGCGGGAGTAGAACTCCCCGTCGCCTGGTGATTGGCCCACTCAGCTGGCTCTTGTGCCTAAGGCGGGAGTAGAACTCCCCACCTCCTGGTGATTGGCCCACTCAGCTGGCTCTTGTGCCTAAGGCGGGACTAAAAACTCCCCGCCCCCTGGTGATTGGCCCACTCAGCTGGCTCTTGTGCCTAAGGCGGGAGTAGAACGCCCCGCCTCCTGGTGATTGGCCTGAAGTCCGTCAGTCAGCACTCATGCCTAAAGTGGGACTAGAACTCCCAACTTCCTAGTTTCTAGGACAGCACCTTCACCAATATATGTAGAAGTAGACCTCAACTTACAACCATTTGTTTAGATACCATTCAGTATTACAACAGCCCTGAACAAAGTCACTTACAACCGGTCCTCAAGACTTACAACCTTTCAGTAACGTCCTGATGTTCACAGGATTAAAATGCAAATGACCAATATTTATGATGGTTGCAGCGTCCCATGGTCACGCATTCAGAATAACAGAATAAAAGAGTTGGAAGGAATCTGAGAGGTCTTCTAGTCCAGGAAGATGGAAAATGGAAGACAGAAGAGAGAAAACAGAAAAAAACAGAAAAAAGATGGAAGACCAGAAAAAGGGAAGACAGAAAAGAGAAGAAAGAAGAGGGGGGAAAGACAGAAGACAGAAGATGGAGGGAAGACGGAAAACAAAAGGGAGAAGACAGAAAACAGAAGATGATAGAAGAAAGAAGGAAAATGGAAGACAGAAAAGAGAAGATGGAAGACAGAAGAAAAAGGGAAGACAGAAGAAAAGACAGAAAAGATGGAAGACAAGAAAAAGGAAGACAGAAAAGAGAAGATGGAAAATGGAAAATGGAAGAAAGAAGATGGAAAATGGAAGCCAAAAGACAGAAGAGGGAAGACAGAAGAGAGAAAAAAGAAGATGGAAGGCAGAAGAAAGAGAGAAAACAGAAAAGAGAAGTAAGAAAGAAGAGGGGGAAAAACAGAAGACAAGAAGATGGAGGGAAGACAGAAAACAAGAGAGAAGACAGAAAATAGAAGATGACAGAAGAAAGATGGAAAATGGAAGAGAGAAGAAGGAAGAGAGAGGAGAGAAAATAAGAGAGAATACAGAAAAGAGAAAAAGAAGAAAGAAGAGGGGAAAAAGACAGAAAACAAAAGAGAAGACAGAAAACAGAAAATGACAGAAGACAGAGGGAAGACAGAATATATTTATTTATTTATTTATTTATTTATTTATTTATTTATTTATTTATTTATTTATTTATTTATTTATTTATTTATTTTATTGAATTTCTATACCGCCCTACTCCCGAAGGATTCAGGGCGGTGAACAGCCATGAAATAAAACACATACATATAAAAATTTAAAATCGAATAAAATGAATTAAATAAATTTGGCTGAATTAATACCCATAATTTAAAATACCCATATTTTAAAACACATTAAAATTTAAAATTTGCACTTAAAAGGGAGAAGATTTAGGCGAGCCAGCTTGATGAAATAAAAGAGTCTTCAGCTCGCGGCGGAAGGTGCGCAGATCCGGGATCCTCCGTATCTCCGGGGGAGCTCGTTCCAGATCGTTGGTGCCCCCACAGAGAAGGCTCTCCCCCTAGGGGCTGACAGCCGACATTGTTTGGCCGACGGCACCTGGAGGAGCCCCTCTCTCTGGGAGCGTACTGGTCGGGAGGCTGTTAATGGTAGTAGGCGGTCCCGTAAGTAACCAGGTCCTAAGCCATGGAGCGCTTTAAAGGTGGTAACCAGAACCTTGAAGCGCACCTGGAAGACCACCGGGAGCCAGTGCAGCTTGCGCAGGAGAGGAGCTCCACGCCGCCCCCATAACCACCCGCGCGCCCGCACTCTGCGCCAGTTGGAGCCTCCGAGTGCACCTCAAGGGGAGCCCCATGTAGAGAGTGTTACAATAGTCCAGACGTACAGATTATTGAATCTGTATTGCCGCCTATTCTCCCATGGCGATTCAAGGCGGCTT